AAGTATTAAATTTTTTTAAATAATTTTAATGATTTTTTTAAAATTTAAATTCCATTTTTTTATTATTTTAATATAATTTTAAATTGGTAGAATAAGTTTGTAAAAAATATGAGTATGGAATTATTGAAATGAAAACTTTGCATAGTTCTTTTGAAACTTCTTTTTTACAATTTGAATTTAAAAAGTATTAGATGTGGATATAGGATTCAAATCATTGAGAACTGTGCTTAATATTCATTTTTACAAAAAATTCAGAATAATCCCCTCACATAATATGAAGGTGGTGCTGGTGGTAATGCTTCTCGACGTCGTCTTTCAAAAAATGATGCAAATCGGATTCTGCTTTGATTCTGAATTATAAATTTTTTTAAAGTGCTTTCTGCTTTTTATGCATATGTAAATTTCGAGCATTAAATATTTTTACGTTACTTGTGATAACTGATAGTAATTTTACTTGAAATAACTTAATATATGTAAAAAAATTTTGCAAAATTCCTACCAATATAATAATACTTTCTTAACATTGTACCATCATAAAAGTTAATTTTTATGCTACCTTTTTTTAATCTCATATTTAGTTAATATGGTTACAGAATTAAATAACAACCACCAGAATTTTCAAATTTACATAACAACCATAAAAATATTCAAGTAAATAAGATTAAAAGATACCATAAAAATACTTTGACATTTACCACCTCGAGGCATTATTCGAAGGTAGCGTACCATAGGTGTACCTGGACTGGTGCAAAACTTTCTCATATAAATTTCTTGATCTTTTGCTGATACATACATCATCACCGAGCAACTTTCTGTACCTTCGGGACATTTTATTTCCTATTGAGATAAAGTCACATGAAAGTTAATCATGTAATGAAACCAAATTATTTGTGTAATTAAAAATTTGCATTACTCAAAATTACGTCAAATTAATTTCAAATTTTTAACAAAAGTTTGATTTCATTTTTGCAAATTCAGTGAATAAAATATGTAATTTTAATAAAAATAATTTAAGTATAAATTGAAAGACAAAATGGATAGTTTTGATGTAATAAATCTCATTTTAAGCACAATTTGAAAAATTAGGAATGTCATTTTAGATGTTACAATTTTATTTTAATTCAAATTAAAAAATGGCGCTCAAAATAATGTAATTTTATTTAAATAAATTAAAAAAAAAGTGATATATATAAAAATAGTGCTGAAAATACTAACTTTATCCACACATGGTTCCCAGCCTTTCTCGTTTATTCCACTATTGCACTGATAACATTTAAAAGCCATTGTCGGTGTAAATACTAACAGATAGAATAATAATTTCATCCCGTAAATTATGCAAATTTAAATGATAACTGATAACAATCAATATTTAAAAAATAATTTTTCTGATTGAAATTAGCAAATTCTGTGGCAAATATTAAAAAATACTTACAAAAATATTTAAAATATAACAAATAAATTGAAAAGTTAGAAAGTGCTAAGTGTACTAACAAAGTAAATTGTTAAAAAAGAATGAACAATTTTTAAACTTTTGAAATTTAATTTTTATACTCGCAAAATTTAACAAAAAAACGATGTTTGTGCAAAAATCATGCATTGATAAGGTGGACAACAGATTCTTGAGTTTTGTTCTGAACATGGATGAAAACTGATAAGAACTTCTGAATCAGAGAATCAATATTTGAAGAAACTAAAAGTGTTCATTCTTTGATTCAGTTTTTTGCTAACTGAAAAGCTTGAGAGCTCAGAAGTTTATGAAGTAGCACAATATTTGAATAAATTTAATCTATTTTCTGGGAATTTTTTTTGACCCCTGAGAAATCAAGTGACCTACTTTTTGATATACCATAGAATTCTTTCAGATTTTCAGAAATCAGTTGTTAAATTCTTAAATACTTTTGAAGAAACTATTAATAAAAGTTTAAAGGTCATGACATTTAAGATTTCCTTTTGCCATTTTGTAAAAAGACGAAAACTCATAAGTTCATAAATAAATATAAATTTCAATTTCTAACGATAAAATTTTTTGCATTCTGCACAATATTTAAAAAATTATTTTTGTATGAATAAACTTTACGATTAGATGCAAATTTTTTTAATTAAATGGATAAAATAATAATTTGAATGTCATTTTGCTATTGAAAGAGTTATATAAATTGCTTGCAATTATTATAAATGTCAAAAATATGAAAAAGTTCTTTTAGTATTTTTGACCTTTCACAAAATTTCCTTTAAAAAGTGTATTTATCTTTGAAACTTTTAATTAACTTACCAATAAAACGAATAATTAAACAAATTCAACAATAAATAATAAAAATTATCGGTATACTAATTAATCAAAAAATATTCAATTTGATTTGTACAAAAAATTTTTTTGTACAAATTTTGTCTGTGGTCTATTTTTCGCCTAAAATTTATTTATTGAAATTTGTATGTCATACTTGTAAACTCAAAAACTTATTACTTTTTAAAACTTTTAAAAATTCAATTTTAAATTACAAATTATTTCATCAATAATATACAAAAACTCAAAAACTTATCAATTTTCAAACTTTAATTTCTAAAAGCTTTAAAAGTTAATAAGTTTTTAAGTTCAGCATAAAGTTTCATGTTCATTTGTTCAAATTTTATTAGAAAAATCAATTAATTTCT